AAATTAAATTTTATGATTGGAGCCAGGGATTTAATTCAGTGGCCCACACCTGTCTTACAAACACAAGGTCCTGATTTCAATCCTGGGTACCACACACACACACAAAAATTTATGATCTTAATATTTTATTGTATTTCAATCTTTATGCATCATTGCAGACTGTTTCTAAAGTGAAAAACTGGATTCAATTTATATATTCAAAGGAGGCATGATTTTAACAGATATTTAAATTATAACTTACAAAGCTCAGTTTGCTCTATATCTAAAACTATTACTCACTTCTTTCATGTATTTATTTGATATTCATTTTCAGTGTTGGGCCAGGCTCCCAACACTTGGGAAGCTGATGCAGCAGGATCACCCCAACTTCAAGGCCAGCATGGTCTACATGGTAAGTTCAAAGCCAGCCTGAACTACATAGTATGTCCCTATCTCAAAAAACAAAAACCAACATGTTCATTGTAATTCCTTCATTTGGTTTAAACAGCTTACTTTTAATCATTTTGCAATAAGCAAACATTTTTTCAAAATGTACTGTAAGTTTATAATGAGCACTAAAAAACGATTTCATGCCATACTACTATTCATCACAGACATCAGACATCAACCTGTTTGCAAATATACACCTAGTACATGCATGGGTCACACTGAAGTCCCTTGCAGTAGGGAAAAGCACAGGTTTTGGACCTTGGCTCTGTCCCAGTCACTACCTGTGTAATGCTGTGGAAGTCTGTGTGCTTTGGGAGTTTCCTCACCTATAAAATGGGTATAAGGGTACTACCTCTTAGGGTTCTGGTGAGAATTAACACCGGTTCGTGTGCATCAGGTACTAAGGACAGTACCTGGTAGACAATGAGCTCAGTACTGGGTCAGTTGCTTTCTTTATCACCATCATCTCTACTCTGGAGCTTCAGGGAATATAGTTTGTTAAATCTGGCTTTGCATAATTGATGTTTTAACGAAGTCTTTCCTTTGTGAGTCTGCTCTGCTTTCAGAAGCAAGCACCAATCAGTCTGTGCTCTCTCACAATGAAGCAGGCTCCCTCGTGAGGAGCTATCTGCACTGCAGTTACTCTAATGAGGCGAGAGCAACTGGCCATAAGCAAGCACTACAGAACAATCCTGGCACTGAGCGCTCCCTCCCAGGTCTCCTCTCGTAATGATCACATGATTCATTCTGAGGTCCTCTGATGATCCAAAATCGTGTATTTCCAAGGTTATCTTGTGTAGCATTAAGATGTACCCTTGCCAGGAACATAGTGTTACACTCTAAGCTAAGGTGCAAACTCAGACTTTCACTCAAAAACAGAAATCTTTAATTTCCTTCTGTGCAGTCAATAGTGAATTTCCACAGACGTGAACCCATTCTGTGACTCCAGCCTCTCAGCAGCAGAAGGAAGGAACCTGGGAAAGATCAGGTTGCTGAGAAAGTGCATCCAGTCTGCCTAAAGGGGGAGCCTGAGAGCAGACGGCAAGCTAGGCCAGGCCTCACAGACATACTTAGCTGGATTCTGGGTTTTACCTTTGGTTTCTTTTGCTAGGGTGTAGTCGGACAAAACCAAAATTACAGTTAACTTTCTTGTTTTAAGACTGTCTAAAGACAGGAGAGTCGAAGACAACACACAGTTAACTTTAGTGATCCCTCTGTGCTCCCCAGACAAAACACCTTGTACGGGGCCACCGTGCACCAATTAGCTCTAATTAAATGCTCTCATTAAAAGGAAAGGGTGGGGGCTAAGCCAGTATGAATAGATAAATAATTACATATTTAATAAAGGTACAGCTTGATTTTTCTGGATGCCACGGATTGTCTAAAAGAAGGAGTTTTTGTATATGTATATGATAGATCTTACTTTAATAGAGAAACTACTGGTATAACCCAGTTTCAGAAAGTTGGTCATCGTCTCCCTAGGGCTATGGAAAGCAAGAGGGATGATGTGAGCACCTAGAACCTGTCGTAGAAACAAGTCTCTTACCCTCATTCTTTGTCACTAATGGTGGGTGAATATTGTGTAAGGCAAAGTGTCTGTAAGACACACACCTGCATAAAAGTCACTTTTCAAGATAGTGTTGGCTACATTTCCAAGTGACCTTAAATCCTTGATGATCCTCTCACTTTGGCTTACTCAGTAGCTGGGGTCACAGGTGGATGCCACAATACTCAGCTACAAAGTCATTTTTATTTTTTCTTTTCTTTTGGTACTGGGGATCGAACTCAGGTCCTCACACTTGCAAGACAGGTGCTAGAACCACTGAGCTAAATCCCCAGCCCTACAAAGTCATTTTTCAATTTTGAAACTGAAAAGCCAGCTTTGGCAAGATATTCATTTGTGCATATTTTAAAATTCAATTCCAAAGAATCCTGGTAGCTTATATGTTTTTAGTTTGAGTACATGTTCAGCCTCTTATTTTACTTAAATTATCAAAAAATATTCATATCCATTTAGCTTAAATATTTAAGAAACATATCCAGGCAAGGTGGTATAAACCTAATCCCAGAACTCGGGAGGCGGAGGCAGGAGGATCATCATGAGATCAAGGCCAGCCTGAACTACATAGTGATACCCTGTGTCTCAAAAAAAAAGAAAAAAAAAGAAAGAAAGAAAGAAAGACTTGGATAATTCACAGAGCTTACAAATTTCCAAAGACAGTGGTGCTCAGGAGGCTGAGGTAAGGGGATCACTGCAAGTTCAAGGCCAGCCTAGAATATAGAGCAAGACCCTGTCTCCCCTTTCCTCCTAAAAATTTCAAATAATTTACAAATGTCATACACACTAACAATTAAGCAGAATAATACATTTGCATTTCTTTGATAGTTTAGTTTTTTTTGTTTTGTTTTGTTTTGGTACCGTGGATTGAACTTGGGTCCTTGAGCTTGCAAGGCAGGCCACCAAACCGCTGAGCTAAATCCCCCGCTTCTTTGATAGTTTAAATGACTTCTTTAAGTATTGTTGTCTGTTGAATTAACATGAAATGATAGGTAAAAAGTGTTAATCTACAGAAAAACCTGGGTGTTCTACAACTTATGTTTTAATTTCTAAATACCTCTGAACAATATTCTAAGACCCTTTAATATACTCTCCAGACTTGGACAATCCATGGTCTTGAATTTATCTGTTAACAGATGTATGATAGGAACTATATCAGCCTATTAGAAGATTCTTCTTAGAGGGCAACCTTTAAAGCTGGATGGCTTCCTGAACCAACAGGGAACAAGAGAAGCAGTGGCCTCTTGAGAGCCACAGTTGACACAATCAGCCCTAGGCAATAGTTGGCAGCACGAAGCCCTAAAGAGAAGGAAATCCGTGAGCGCAGAGGCAGATTTCACAGGCTACATTTTTCTCCTTTATTTGGGCCATCACATGAAAGATAAATTATTTTTTAAAACGATTAAGTACTCTCATCAATTAGCTAGCTAGAGAATTAATCCTGAAGGAAAAATGTAATAAGCTCTTCTTCCGTAACTGCCAGCTGTCGAAAACTGTCAGAGTTAGTCAAAGCTTCTTAATGTTCCAATCAAAGCATGGAGTGGAAAGTCACTGCAAGAAACCCATTAAGCTGTATTGCTAAATGTCCAATGTTATATAAAAACTATAAATAGCTTTGTACTTTAGGGTTTTTTCATTTTGCTTTTCTTGAAGGAATAACGATGTTCTGCTTCAGTTAATAAAGTAATTTTGGAGCTGCCTTTGTATTTAATCCACATACTCTTTCTGTGCAGTGTAAAAATGGCAAGTAATAATCAAATCAATAGAATCCTAAGCATTCCTTGGAGTATCTGTCATTAATAATTTTAAAGCTTAAGTGGTACACTGGCTAAAAAAAAATCACTAAGCTTAATAATCTTGTGAGCTGACTTTTCTTTGGGGGAATAAAAATGCAGTTTCTGTAAAAGGCATCTAGTCTTTCAAATATTTGCAAAGGAATTCATATTATGGTTAAAGAAGCATCACTTACTCCTTACTTAAAAATAACAAGCTGGCAGCCAATGCTGCACAGTTGTATGTACCCCAATGTGCAGAAATGGTTACTGAACTGAAAATGCTGGTGTCCATGCAAAGCCTTCTCTTAGCTCATGGCTGACCTCCTAGCAAAGGACCAAATGAGGACGCCACATAAAAGGATAAAAGAAGCAGAGGACCGGGTTCAAATCACTAATACTGAAATGCTTTTTTTTTTCCTTACAATTTTAAAGAAGCTTGTTTCTAGACTTTCCTTCTAAGACTAATTCTTCCCATATCTGATGGAGCCCATTTATTCTTGCTACAGCTGTTAGATTAGAGAATAATCTTTATATCAAGTTTCTGGTTATTGATACAGAAGCTTTGAAAGAAATATTAAGAGTAGATTACATTTAGGAGCAAAGAGATCCAAGTTTATAGATTTTGCAGAAAGTAGAAACAATTTTTCATTAAATTTTTTTTAAAGCTAAAAAGCCATGTTAACAATTTTGACATCTGAGTTTTTAAATCTAAAAGCAGGGACTAGAGATACAGCAAAGTGGTGCCGCGCCTGCCTGGCAAGTGCAAGGCCCTGAGTTTGATTCCTGGTACAGAGAAAAAAAAAAAATCTAAATCTAAAAGCAAAATATTTTGAAAAGTACGTTGAACAGAAAATAGAGTAAAACATAATAGATACTTAATGGAAAACCAAAGAAATCTTCAAGTACCTTATCCCAAAGAAGCAGATCGGAACACTGAATTCTTGAATTTCACTTGAAATCTTATGCTAAGTTTTAGCATTTGATAACACCTATATTTTATGATAATTTTTATATTTATAATAGTCTCCAAAACTATCCCATTATTATATTACTAAATCTAATAAGTGGAAATTAAAAAATATTTTAATATATTATAATGAGTACTTATTTTAAAAGAAAAATTTTGACACAGACAACTATACAACTTCAATAACCAAGATATATACACCAAGTTTTATTTGTCTTTAAATTATATAACAGAAAAAGTATGTTATCCAAAATATTAAATTTTCTTGCATTTTACAAAAGAAAAAGAAACTGAAGTGAAACTGTAGGAATGATGAACTTCAGATAAATGTTTCTTCAAAACAAGAGGCATTAGTTCCTAAGATTCCTCTAAAGTTAAAAAAAAACATTAAGCTAGTGGGTTATTACATTTACAAAAATGCATGTTTAATGGACACATGTTTACTTTTAGAGATAGTAAACTCAGTCTCCTCTCTCATAAAACTCAGAAGACACCACTGATGTCAAAAGGAACCAAAACAATAAAAGTCTCTTCTTCGTATTAAAATAACTTTAAAACCAAAATCTACCTAACTTTATTTTCCAAAAAAACAAAGGATGGCTAACTTGAAAGCAACATGTATACAAGTCACTCTGAAAGAAAGAAACACATTATGGGACCATGTAAGAAACATGGACGAAAAGCCCAACGATGACATGGATTCAGAGTATCAGCCGGTCCTCTCCACCCTCCTGAATTACCTGACCAATGCAAGTTTGGCTTTGTTGTTTCAGAAAGCACTGCTTCTTACATTCCATCAGTTTTTCCAAATCACGCCACATTTTTGCTTGTTTCATATTCGGACCATGGCTTTCTCGTACAGCTTTTTGTTTTTCCCGGAGTTTCTATCATAAGAAAATATCAAGAATAATTAAATCTCAGTGACATGATTTATTTCTATTGCTATGATTCAGAGAAACATGGTGTATTTTGTATATTAAATGAGTAATAGTTAAGTAACCAGATTTTCCTATAATCTATCAAAATTAAGATTATAAAAGTTTATTAAATTTAAGATAGATGTAGGACAACCTGAAGTTAAAAAAAGAACAGAAAAATATAAAAGAAGGGAGGGGAAAAAATTAAGAAATCAGAAAAGCAGAATAGTACCATGGTGTAGAATGCAGATTTGGGAAGTCAGAGGACTTGAGTTTGTCACTATCTACACGCAAGGTACTGCAGTTTTCTGAACCTCGGTTTTCTTGACTGGGAGGTTAATAAAAGGAGGTGATAAGGTATCTGTCTTATAATATTTTGTTTTTTGTAGTAGTGATGCTTAAACCTAGGACCTTCACACTGAGCTACATCCCCAGATGGTTTTTTATTTTTACTTTCAATTTTTATTAGTACGGTTACAGTGCATAGTGATTGCATTCACAGTGAGGCGTTGGTACATGGACATAACACATGTAAAAAATTTTTTAACGTCCCCTTCCTCTCTCTTCTTTCCCAGCTGCACTTTTCCCCCCATCCTCCCTTCCTTATTTTCATTTTTTATTTTGAGACAGGGCCTTATTAAGTTGCTAAATTGACCAAGCTGGGCTTGAACTTGTGATCCTCCTGTCTCTGCCTCCCTGAGTGCTAGGATTACAGGCAAATGCCACCATACGTAGCTAAGATTTTCTTCACATGACAGTAGATAAGGAAATTCTTGATAAACTATCACGTGTTATATATGTTACTAATATTTAATGTCATATTCTACCCTGAAATTGCATGCTTTATATGTGTTCAAATAAATCAAATTATATGCATTTATTCCTCAGGGAGAAGATGCAGTTATTTTAATAAAGGTATAACATTTACAACTGGGCATAGTGGTGCATGCCTATAATCCCAGCCCTCAGGAGGCTGAGGCAGGAGGATCTGGAGTTTCGGGGCAGCCTGAGCTACATAGCAACTTCAATGCTGGTCTTGGCTATAAAAGCAAAAAACAAAAGCAAAAACAAAATGAAGGTGTACCTTTCAATAGGCTAAAATTTATTTTAGAGTTGTTTTTTGTTGGTTGTTTTGAGACAGGGTCTCACTATGTAGTTGAGACTGACCTGGAATTCACTATGTAGTCCAGGCTGGTCTCGAACTCATAGAGATCCTCCTGCCTCAGCCTCCCGAGTGCTGGGATACAGGCGTGAGCCACCATGCCCAGCCAAGAATTGTTTTTGTTATAAATAGCCTAGATAAACCAAGCCTGGTGGCACATGCATATAATCCCAGCACTCAGGAGGCTGAGGCAGGAGGATTTCTCCAAGTTTGAGGCCAGCCTGGCTATTCATAGCGAGATCTTCTCTCAAAAAACATCAGTGGGCTGGGGATTTAGCTCAGTGGTGCCAGCGCCTGCCCTGCAAGCTCAAAGTCCTGAGTTTGATCCCCAGTATCACAAAACAACAACAACAATAAAAAAACAACACCCCTACAACAAATAGTCTAGATAGGTCCACCTACTAGAACTATTTCATTTTCTGACTCCAAAATTACAAAGAGAAGTAAAAATAATTTCATTGAATTGCAAAAATACACTTTAATTCAATATTATGGCAAATTAAGGAAGGCAGATATGAGGAAAGGTCAGCACAAAGTCAGAGACAATGAGAGACACTGCGGAAAGAGAACGAGACAGAAGAAGGAAAGAAGAGAGAAGGAAGCAAGGAAGAACAGATGGATAAAGTAAAGGAGGGAGGGATAAAGAAGAAGAGAAGGGAAAATAGACAAGTGTACCTAAAAGGAAACATAATGTGACAGAAATACCAACTCTGACACCAAGTGTGAGAAAAATCACCAAGAGGGACGGAGAAACAAGCAGACTTGGCAGGAGGTTACATGGGAACAGCCTCGTCCTCTCGTCTCCACACACTCATCTATCTGCCATGGAAGACAAGCCAAAGCTGGCTGTGGGTGCTTGCTCAAGTAAGGATAAACTACGCTGAGGACCAGATGAAGACACTTATTAAATACCACCCACCACCCCAGTTATGGGCAATGGAAGCAAAGTTAACAAAGAGCAAGAGAAAACAAAGAATTTTGAAAATATAATTTAAATATAATGAGCAATTTTATGCAACAGCTGGCATATTAATACATCTACTGTAGTTGTTATAATCTCTTACAATAATTTTATCCTCATAAACTGAAACAAAAGTATTTAGAAAAGTCAGTAAAGCAAATCAAGAACTGTAAGTGTTCTTACTGGGCATGGTGGCACATTCCTGTAATACCAGCACTTGGAAGGCTAAGGCAGGAGGATCACAAGTTTGAGGCCAGCCTGGGCTACATAGTGAGTTTGAGGCCAGTATGAACTACTTAGTGAGATCCTGTCTCAAAAAGCAAACAAACCAAAGATCTACTCTAGAAGTGAGAGGATCAATCAAGGAAATCAATTTCTTAATTGACTCAGCCTGACAACAGGGGAATGAGCTGGACATTGACTCATTTTGCTTAACAATACTTAAAGGACAGATTGTTGCTACCATTTCCTCTGAGCCCTTCAGTAAAATCCTACATCTGAGGGCAAAACAATAATCCCCCCCGCCAATTCTTCTCCCTTTCCCTCTCACTGGTGGGAATTGAACCTAGACTTAGTGCATGCTAGGCATATTCACTACCATCAAGTTATATCCCCAAACCACAAATAACCTTCAGTCAGATATAGTAATTAAATTTGGGTGTTTAAATGTATTCAGGTTTGGTAACTATTTCTGTATATACCAGCAACTACCCAAATACATTTTAAAACAAGAGAAAGAAGAATGGTTTCATATATTAACATACAAAATCTTCAGAAAAGTCAATTTTTTTTTTGTTGTTGTGTTTTGAGACAGTCTCACACTATATAGTTGAGACTGACCTGGAATTCACAATGTAGCCCAGGCTGGTTTCGAACTCACAGCATCCTCCTGCCTCAGCCTCCTGAGTGCTGGGATTATAGGTGTGCCCCACCATGTCCGGCAAAAAAGTCAATTTTAATGCTGGGCATGGTGCAGCATGCCTGTAATCCCAACACTCAGGAGGCTGAAGCAGGAGGATTGCCCCAAATTCAAGGCCAGCCTGGGCTACAGTGAGTTCAAACCTAGCCTGAACTACACAGTGAGACCTACCTCAAAAAAAAAAAGTCAATTATATATAATCATACCAAATCCTGAAGATCTACAAATCTGTAGTTAATATTCTGTACAAAGGAATGTCTGCAATTTGATTCAAATACATACTTTCAAACATGAATGTTACTTCTATTTTTTCTTTTGAGTTTGGTGTGTCTCCTATGAAGGTATCAGGCATATAGAATTCACAAGTTCCTTGATAAACAGAGAAATCATTTTCTTTTTATTTACTGTTTAACTTTATTAATGTAATAGACATTCATTCACAAATCACAAAGAAAGAACAGCTGAATACTTTTTAGAGAATTGTCTGATTCTAGGTTTTGGATAGGAAACATAGGATAAGTTTGGAACACTTTGTCATCAAGAAATGAAAGAAGCTATAAAGGCTAAAAATCTTATTTCAGCAGGGTTCAGAAATTGACTTCAAGGACCAGGGAGAGATGTAGCTCAGCAGTGCAGTACCTGCCTGACAAGCGAGAGGCCCTGAGTTCAATTCCAGGTACCAAAAAGGAAAAAAAAAAGAAACTGACTTCTGTGACAAAGGTGAGACAATTGGAGCCCTGACAGGAATAGTAATTTATTACAACACAGAGAAATTACGCAGAAGCCAGTGAATAAGCAAGTAAAGCAATTCTTTTGCCTTTCATATATGAATTGAACTTCTGGGTAATGAGATGATAAACATTACCTGGTTTTGTTTTTTGTTTTTTTGTGTGTGTCAGGGCCTCATGACATAGCCTAGTCTGGCCTCAAACTTGAGAGGTCTCTTGCCTCAGCCTCCCAAGGGCTAGAATTATAAAGTGTGCCACCGCACCCAGTAGATTAGTTGCTCTGAATAGAATTATTTTAGCCAATAAGTGAAAAAGAAAACATATTCAGAATGTCACCATTTTGTCACCTCTAGTGAATTACAGATTTAGGAAATGATTATTAATGGATGCCTGAATCATAAAGAGAAAGCCTAATAGAAACACCTACTACCAACTATGAAGTATTCTTGTCATATATCAAAATGATTTAACAAAGCCTCTACCTCTACCTACCAATTCATAGGAAATACTGGGGACAGACAAACATGTCAACTGACACCACAGGGATGCAGAAAAATTGTAAGGAAAAATGATGGAGTAATTTAAGAAGAGAATGTAGGGCTAGGGAGCTAAAAGTCCTAAATTTAATCCCCAGCACAAAAAACAAACAAACAAACAAACCAAAAAACAAAACACAAAGATTTACTGAGAATGAAAAGATTTATCAGCTAATAGTGATGTATGGACTTTTTTTTTTTTTTTTTTTGAACAGGGTCTCACTTTGTTTGAGACTGA